TATATAAATAATTAGGGGCTAGTGGCTGGGTATTCTATTCAGGTCTTTCTCCTTCTCTCCACCCTGTGCCTCTCAGCCCCTCATTGTCCCTACATAACCTCTTCAACTTTTTCCTCCTTTCCTTTCAGGGGGCCTGAGTTCCCCTTCTCTGAATGAGGGACCGCCATAAGAGGGACTGTGGGGGAACCAGGGCTATATGATGGTGATGGCTGGCTGGCACCCTTGGTCCAGAGGGTGGGGTGCCAGTCTCTCTCTGCCAGAAGCAGCTCCAAAATGCTACAGGGACTCTGGGCTCACCTACCTTCTGAACTAGCTTCCTCTGTCCTCTCAGGGTGAGCACAGGGCCCTTGGGCAAGAGAGGGTCCAGGGGCCCACTAGGGGGCAGGTCCTCTCTCCTCAGGCTTCCATGACAGCAGACCCAGCAGGAGGCCAACTCCGCTCAGGGAGTGGGATTACTGAGTGCTTACTCCCAGGGTGGGCTAGGACCCTGGTGCTCAGAGACCCTGACCAGCTTCCCCCTCTTTGCCCCTGCTCTCCTGCCCACCAGCTCTCCTGCAGTTTACCCCTTGCTCCCCTTCCTCTCTTGCAGGCCCATCTGAAGAGCATGCTGCCCCCTTACTCCCCGCCTGGCCTCGCCATCCCTGCTCCCCCAGCCTGACGCCCGGCCCCAGCATGGCCCAGGGTGCCATGCGCTTCTGCTCAGAAGGCGACTGTGCCATTTCCCCACCACGATGCCCACGCCGCTGGCTCCCCGAAGGCCCTGTGCCTCAGAGCCCCCCAGCCAGCATGTATGGCAGTACCGGCTCCCTGCTACGGCGCGTGACAGGTCCAGGTCCCCGGGGCCGGGAACTGGGTCGTGTGACAGCACCCTGTACACCCTTGCGTGGCCCTCCTTCACCCCGTGCTGCTCCTTCACCCTGGGCACCCTCTTCACCTACTGGACAGCCTCCACCTGGGGCCCGGAGCTCTGTGGTCATTTTCCGCCTGGTGGAGAAGGCCAGTGTGAGGCCACTGAATGGGTTGCCTGCTTCAGGAGGCTTGAGCCGGAGCTGGGACCTGGGTGGGGTCTCTCCTCCCAGACCCACGCCAGCCCTTAGGCCTGGCTCTAACCGGAAGTTGCGCCTGGAAGCATCCACTTCAGACCCACTTCCAGCTGGAGGAGGCTCTGCCCTGCCTGGCAGCCGAGGCCCTTTAATTGGGCCCCCCGTCCCACCCCAGGTCGGGGCAGATGGTCTTTACTCCTCTCTCCCCAATGGGCTGGGGGATCCCCCTGAACACCTGGCCACACTATTCCGAGGAACTGCCAACATCGGATTGCTGAACCAGGTATGTAATTTCTCATGGGCTCCCTGGGGCCCTGAAGCCCGAGTGAAGGGGCCCAGCTTGGACCTGGGCCAGTCTGCTATTCACTCTGAATCCTTGAATCTATCCTAAATATCTCTCTTGCCCTCTGTGTTTGTCTATGTGTCTCTGCATCACCCACTCTGTCCCTGTATGTGTTTATATTTGTGTCTCTGTCCCATGTTCCTTTGTCCCTGCGTTTGGCTTTACCTCTGGGTGACTGTGTCTATTTCCCCATCCTTGGCTCAGGGGGACACCTGGTCCTCCCCCCGAGAAGTCTCCTCTCATGCCCAGAGAATTGCTCGAGCCAAATGGGAATTCTTCTATGGTTCCTTGGATCCCCCCAGCTCAGGTAAGGCCTGGGACTGAGGCAAAGCGAGTAGGGCAAGGCCTTTACCACAGCAGCTGGGCCTTGACGGGCAGCTTCCTTGAAATTTTCTGCAAACCCTTCCTGGCTGAGTTGGCAAATGTTCCTCTGGCCCTCGCTCCTGCCACGTGTTATGGAGGGCTCCAGGGCTTGTTCAGACACATA